GGCCCCGCGGGCAGTGCCTCCAGGGCGGGCTGGGCCTCCTCCGGCCTCTTGGCCCCGCCCTTGGCCAAGCCAGAGCCGACATAGGAGGTGCCGATGACGCCTGGGCTGCACTTGTCCAGCAGGCTCTCGGCCGCCTCCTCCCTGCCGCCCCGGCAGCCCCCGCAGCACACACAGGAGTTCAGGAGGCAGCTGGTGGCTGCGGCACCGAGTTTGTGGGGGCCCTCCGACCCCTCAGCCACGGTCTCCGACAGGGAGGCGCCGGTTCCGGGCACTTCCAGGGCAGAGACGGCGCCGTCCAGGAGGGCAGGCGATTTGGGGTTGAAGATGACCGTGGCCGAGAGCTTCATGCCCCCCGTCCGGTGGGCGATCATCTCCGCGGTCTCCGCGTCGTCCGCTGTCGCCTCCCAGCTGTCCAGGTGCGGCTGGGCGTCCAGGCAGCTGCAGGAGTTGGGGCCCGACGCCCAGGCCTTGTCCTGGTCTGGGACGTTGTTGTTGTTGCTCAAGTCGCCCTCATCCTTCGAGGTGGCGGGCACGCTGCCCCCTGCCTCGGGAACTCCACGTCGTGGGAAATGCAGAGGTTCCGTTCCAGCGTGTGCAGCTCGTCCTCCGTCAGCGTCTGCAGCAAATCCCTACGGGACCAGACCCCCGGTGAGGGCCCCAGAGGGACCAGACCCCCGGTGAGGGCCCCAGAGGGACCAGACCCCCGGTGAGGGCCCCAGAGGGACCAGACCCCGGGGTGAGGGCCCCAGAGGGACCAGACCCCGGGGTGAGGGCCCCAGAGGGACCAGACCCTGGGGTGAGGGCCCCAATGCCACCCGGCCTCCGCCTCCACCAAGAGCAGGTGGTGCTGCCTGCCGGCGCCCGCAGGGAACCAATGGGCATGATCGCTCGCCATTCAGTTCACAGGCACACACTTCCTCCCCGATAAAGTGAGGCACCGGCTCCCGTGGGGGGTGGAGGGAGCTTCCTTCTTTTATTTTTTTTAAATATATGCCTATTTTTTAAACATACTTTTATTGATCTCAGAGAGGAAGGGAGAGGGAGAGAGAGAGAAACATCAGTGATGAGAGAGAATCACTGGTCGGCTGCCTCCTGCACGCCCCCACGCTGGGGATCCAGCCCGCAACCGAGGCATGTGACCAGGAATCAAATCTTGACCTCCTGGTTCATAGGTTTACACTCAACCGTTGAGCCAC